GAAGAGAGTGAGACAGAGAGTAAGGGAGATGAGGAGGAGAGCAAGGAAGAAGAAGAGGAAGAAGAGGGAGGAGGTGAAGCAGTTGCTCTGTCTCAGGGTGGGACAGAGCAGCCTAGGCCAAATAAGCACATCAGATTCACCTACCCCACTCCGAGTGCAACCACACTATCTGACTCCGGTGGTCGAGACACAGAGATCATTGAAACAGAGGCACACACCTCGAACCCTAACCAGCCTATCCAACTAGAGGTCGCATCTGCCTCTAGTTATATTAGCCAAAGGGACACCTTTCCACAGGGAACACCCTCTCAAAAGGGTGTCACCTTTGAAAACATAAGTGATATGTCTCCCCATATCACGCCACTTTCCCACACAAAGGAATTTGTTTCCTCCGCACAAGTAGAACCCCAACCTTGTTCAGAGCACGGACTAGGTGCACAAGACTTTGAGACTCTCGACCAGTCTCCTCGTCCACTCATGGAGAGCCCTCTGGCTTACATCGAGTTCAAGGTCGTCGTGGCCAAAAAGTGTCAAGAAGTGGCCAAAGGAAGACAGCTGCCATCCTTGTAGTTTCCCCGATTCTTGGGTCTTCTCCTAAGACCAGCTCTTGATGACAACAACATTGATGTAGGTCGTCTACCTCTTCACAAGGTAAACATACTCACTCAATACAGGCCAACAGTGCACAAGGAAGGTTATGAAGCAGAAAGACCTATTCCAAAGAGACTCATGAGCTACATGAAGTCTAAGGAGATTAGGAGAGCGTACAGACATACACGCGAGACACTAGAACCAGTGTCTCGAACCCCGGTACGCATAGGAGCAGCCAACGAAGAAGAGAGAACTGAGGATACTTCAATTCCTCAGACCGGGGGAGGAACGATAAGAGCTGGAGAAGAGAGAATGAGAGCTGAGGAAGAGAGAGTGAGAGTACAACAAGAGAGAGAAAGAGAAAGAAAACGAGAAAAGGCAAGGAAAAAGAAAGCTGAGAGGAGAAGAAGAAAAAGGAGGCATAACGAGTAGAGGAATAGCGGGCAGAACAGGCTTGCCAAATAGAAATCGCTCGCCTAAGAGAAGAGGCTAGACTCAGTGCAAAAGAGGAGGCTCGTCAAATCTTGGCTCAATCCTCTACTCCAAACCACGAGGATTACCAAGAGCATTATGACGATGCTGCACAGTCTTACACTAGCGAAGAAAGTGGTGAAGAGGAGGAAGAGACTGACGAAGAAGAGAGTGAGACAGAGAGTAAGGGAGATGAGGAGGAGAGCAAGGAAGAAGAAGAGGAAGAAGAGGGAGGAGGTGAAGCAGTTGCTCTGTCTCAAGGTGGGACAGAGCAGCCTAGGCCAAATAAGCACATCAGATTCACCTACCTCACTCCGAGTGCAACCACACTATCTGACTCCGGTGGTCGAGACACGGAGATCATTGAAACAGAGGCGCACACCTCAAACCCTAACCAGCCTATCCAACTAGAGGTCGCATCTGCCTCTAGTTATATTAGCCAAAGGGACACCTTTCCACAGGGAACACCCTCTCAAAAGGTTGTCACCTTTGAAAACATAACTGATATGTCTCCCAATATCACGCCACGTTCCCACACAAAGGAATTTGTTTCCTCTGCACAAGTAGAACCCCAACCTTGTTCAGAGCACGTACTAGGTGCACAAGACTTTGAGACTCTCGACCAGTCTCCTCGTCCACTCATGGAGAGCCCTCTGGCTGGCTCTGAACCAGCTATGGGTCCTCTCCTTGATAGAACAGAAGTAGTGAATCCTCCTCAAGGAGAACCACGAGGATCTTCTAGAAGCCCTTCCCCGACTAACGTCAATCAGGTCATGAATGAAGGCGTCCCTGGAACGGGGACTCAATCTGGCCCATGTGTTGAGCCAGAGGTTACCACATCTGCATATGTCAGTAGGGAAGCGTTCCATTCCCTTTTCACCTCTATGCAGTGCTCCTTAGAAGAGCTAAAACTCAGCATGGCCCGTGTAGAGTCGTCCCCTTCTACACCTACTCTGGATGAGATACGAGTATCCTTGGCAGTACTAAGAGCTGAGTCCACGACAAATGCTTCTCGTATCAATATACTAATGGAATTGATGGCAACCAATACAGCAACATTACAGCAGGTTGTTGCATCTCTACAGAGGGTTGAGGCGTCTACGTCGATCAACAACCAGGCCCTCATACCTCTGAGTGTACATGTGGACTGTGTCACACAGAACGCCATGAATGCTCTGGGTGACAGACTCCTACAGAAGGTGGCGGACTTCATTGCAGACTTCAACAGCAAGGCCACAACAGAAGCAAAGAACATCAACGACACTCTCGCACGATTCAACTACCGTTTAGACGACGAAGTGCAAAGGGTTGTCGTTGTAGTCAATGAACTCCTCAAAACCATCGAGGAAGTGATCAGATCCATGTCTCGAGTAGAGGATGAAAGACCTAAGAGACAGCGAGATCAGTCTCCATGTGCTGAACCGCCAAAGAGGAGGCGACTTGACGATGATGAGGACCCAGACGAGTCTCGTCCTCAAACTCACCAAGAGGGGGAGAACCTACCTACAGCCACACCAAGTACAACACCTCTGGCTGTCCCCTCTGCACCATCGTCCTCTACTCTACGCCATCAAAGTCAACCAAGGCAAAGCAAACAAAGCCAACAAGTGCCAGATAACGCAGAGGCACTACGCAAAGGGAAAATGCCTATGACATCAGAGGCAGAGCCAGCCATGCCACACAAGTCTACAGAAGTGATCGACCTTCTATCTACCTATGGATCAGAAGACTCTGACCTGGCTCTGTCCTCCTCAACAGAGTATGCTATGGACATGGTTGCTTCATCAACAACCCAACAAGAAGAAGAGGTGGTGGCCGTGAATGTGGCTGATCCGTCGCTACTACACATTCTGGTTGCCATTCCTCTAGAAGAAGTAACCGTTGCTGCTCCTCCACCACATTCAAGAACCGATTGAGCTAGGGTCCTTGTTCAATGGACCAGGATTGTCACTATTGCAATGAAGCATGTATCGATCAATCCAAACAGAGCGGACTCAGAAGGCACAACGAGTGGGCAAAAACGGAAGCATCCCTCTGATCGCGTCCAAAGGATCAAAGCAAGCATGGATGCCATGTTCAAACCAACACCCATCGACAAACCCATCAAGGACAAGGCAGATAGCGAGGAAATCTACTAGTACCTCTACAACCAAAGGGAGGAGACACCGGTCCAGAAGATCAGTCTCTATCCGATGACTCAAGAGCACATCAGGCAGAGATTCCTCGATCGCTATACTCAACCAATCACTGAGTCCACTTCGCTGATGGAATAAAACAAGTCCTGGACATAAAGAAACGCACCTTTGCGCATAATCAGATAGTGTTCTACGAGTACAGAATTGAGAGGACTCACGGACAGATATGTAGGTTCACAGATTGTGACCTCATTAATCTAAATCTGTGGGATCTTCTTCATTTGTTCTACTTTACAGACCACAAGAAGGACAAGGGAGTGAAGTTCGCTGTTTCCAACACTACCATCTGCCAAACAATGGCATATCTACTTGACTAAGCAAGTTTGACTTCCAACTAGCTCTAGATCTAGGAGCAGATCAAATGACAGTTGCTGCCCCAAATGAAGAACTACACAGCATCAACAACACCCTCCTGGATGGTTCTGGTGGAACCAAAAATGGGAGTGGTGTTTCGAAATGAGTACAATCAGAATATCTTCTCTGGTCAGGAGCAGAGACAACTCCCCTGGAGCCAAGGAGCATGCCAAAATAATTCTAAGGTCCATTCGAAATATGCTTGAGTTTCGTGAACTTCTTAGGAAGTTCATTAGACTTCAAAATGCTTAAGACCTCTTATCTTTTGTAAGTACATTCTCAGTTTTTCTTCAATGTAATTTCAATTTCAATCGTACTGTACTTCATTAGATAGTCAATGTAAACCAGAGGTTGTTTTTTACCTCTATCTTCTTTTAGACTTGTTTTGTAAATCAAGTAAGAATCCTTCTTATTTACACTTAGGGGGAGATTGTTAGACCCCAAACCTATAAAAGTGTAAGTAAGAAGTATCTTGTTCTAGTCAATAGGATTTAGTTTATAAAAGTTGTCTGGCTAAAAGCTCTCATGTAGAGGATCAAGGACCAGAGCTCTTACTCAGAGTGAAGGTTCCGCTATACAGAGTCCGCGCTCTATCTCCGTGATCGTTCAAGTCTTGTACGCCAAAAAGCATAAGCGCTTGACTCCAAGGAACAACTCCAAGACCAAGAGCCTCTGCATAGTACATGCAGAGCTTCTGTAGGTTCGTGTAGAGCATTTGGCTACCTACTTCACGGAAAGCGCGCGTTAGCCCAGACATTCTCGCAAGCGTCTAACAACTTAAAGGCGGCTTGACCAAATCTGCACCACTAATCAAGGAAGTCAAAGATAAGGATGCAGACTAGTCAGCTCAGAGTTTCACGCCTAATTTATAGCATAGTTAGTTAGACGCAAGTGTATAAAAGGAGGGCTCCGCCTCAGGTTCAAACGACCTGAAGGAGCCGACTTAAACTATACGCAAACTCTTGTGAGATTATATTTGTTCTTCAATTGTTCATCATTTATAAATAAAAGCATTTGGTTATTCAAAGAGTTGTTTTAACTGCTTTACGTTTCTCTTTGAATATCTAGTTTAATCATCAGAAATACCTGTTGTTCTTAAGTATTATTTTAAGCAAACTATATTTCTGCAAATTTAGAGTATCTGGGTCCTACACTTTGAATTATTTCAACAAAATAAGTTTTGATGAGAAACCAGAGAGGTTCTGGTTGGTCTTTAAGACTAACCAGAAGGTCTCTGATTGTGGTGGAAAATCTCTAAGTTTTTTCAAAACTCATATTTTGACCTAGATGCTCTGTATGTGTTATACCAAGGCTCTGTATCATGAAATCTAACAAGTAAAAGTTCTGTATCTGAGCTCTGTATCTAAACTCTTACTTTTTCGTACAACTTTATAAGTTAAATCTTTTTAACTTTATCTTTTACAATAATAGTAAAGAACTAGAGAAGCTATGGTTAACTTTCATATTTTACCAAAGGGCCTCAGGTTATGTTAAAATCTCATTTGTCTTCTTATATCTCTTCTTATTTTCCATAAGTTTTAGTTTAGATGGACCAGAGGTTCTGGTCGTCCAAAGGGCCTCTGGTTGGTCATGCATCCTTAGTGATTTTTGAAAATTGGAGACCAGAAGCACTGGTTGGTAAGATCAGAGGCTTTGGTGGACCGGAGGGGATCTAGTTGGCTTAACACTAGATTTCTTTGTACTAAGTTGAGTGACTAGAGGCGCTCTGCTTGATTATATTATATGTTTGTATCATTTTCAAGAATGATCTAAGTTTCATGATTAAAGTCTTTAGTAACTTTGTTTTGTTTGGTTTTGCTCTGGCTTAAGAGCAAGAGGAGCTGTGGGTAATCATGCACAGAATGATGCAAGGACTTGAGTGGTCACATTTCATGTGCATCAAATTTATAACTCATATTTGATTACGATATATATATATATATATATATATATGTGTGTGTGTGTGTGTGTGTGATTTCAAATATGATTTGCAACATGTTTTGGTGATTTTCACTCTTTAATTGCATAAAAAGGGATTTCTCACTAGAGCTCAAGATCTAACCCTCATTTTGTGTTTAAGAATGTGCATTGCATCTCAAGCTTTACCAAGGGATAAGAGGAAGGGGAAAATGTGAACTTTTCCTTTTGTGCATACATGGTTATGAAGAACATGTTATATGTTTGATTTTTGGAATACCTGTTATAGATGCAAGTCATGTACAAGAATGTTATGTAAAGTTTGGTTGATAATTTTGTAATATAGCTTATTGTACTATTGAGACCGAATGTGTACTATTTGTATTTCTTGATATATGTGAAATACATAGTTATATGCAAATGTGGATCTTGGGGTGTTACAAAGAAGTTATGTGATATTTTTGAAAGATTAGGAGGATTACGAGCAACTAGGAATATGGATATCGATGAACAAGTTGCCATTTTCCTTCACATGGTTGTTCATAATGTTAAGAATAAGGTTGTCACATGTCGTTTTCATTGTTCGGGGGAAACAATTAGTAAACTTTTTACTCGAGTTTGCAACACGCTTAATAGATTGCACCCACATTTACTTAAGAAACCCGAACCTGTTTTTGAGGACTCTACTGATCGAAGATGAAAATGGTTCAAGGTAAATATAAAAGTTCAAGTAATAAACTAAATATGTGTAATGATTATTTTTTTTTCTTGGTTCTGGAATTTTCTAGATGTTTTAGATGGAACATACATAAAGTGAATTAGGTATCTTCATTACCAATCAAAATCGATGAGGATATGAGTTTCAAAAAAATATTATTATCTTCCTTAACAAACATTCATTTATTCAACCAATTCATTATTATTATTTTCATAAATAAACCAAGTCCATAAGGTACATAAACAATGAAACAATGAAAAAGCAACATACTATGAACAACTACTTTGAAACAAGTTAATGAAATTGGTATATTATTGAAATAGGTTAATGAAACTACTACTCTGAAAAACGTTCATTAATGGAACATGTTAATGAAACATGTTAATAAAACAACTATTTTGAAATAGGTTCATTATTGAAATCTCTCATGTCTATTGATTGATTTTTTGCATTGTTCTTCAATTTTTTGGTAATAAATCTGCCATGAAAATCTATTGATTTTTTGAAATCTCCCATGATTATTGGAATTTCATTTTGCCTGCTATGAATAAGCCTTGAAATTTGGACCATATTACCGTTCAGTGCCTTTTTTATTAAATAAAGTATTAGTTGGTTTTTTGTTGACATATATAGCTTCTTTTAATCATGACCATTAGTCAATGAAATTGATGGATAAATATGATTTGTACGGTTTGTACAAATGGATTGCAAATGAGATCGCCCCTCTCTCTCTCTCTCTCTCTCTCTCTATATATATATATATATATATGTATATATATATATATGGGTGTTAAATCTTATGAGAAACAAAAAAAGATTAAGAACTTGAGGACTAATCTAATCCATAGATTATATTAAATCAAAGGTATATAAAAAAATAAGCCTATTTAAAATAAAATTGTGACATAAAGGTATTTTTGACAAATTTAGAAGTAAATTGAAAGACATCCTAGGGTTTTTAAATCCAACAAATGCTCTTCATCGTCGATCAACCCTCGGTTGTTGGGTAGAGCTGGCAAAAAGTGATCCAACCCTTTAACCCAACTTGAACCCAACCCGAAACTCAAAACAAGCTGGTTGGGTTGAGATTTTCAACCCATTTAAGTTAATGGTTCAACCCGTCTAACCCAATTATTTAAATGGGTTAGGTTGAAATTTCTGACATGTTTATAACCTGATTTCAATCCATTTAAAATTAAATATCACTATTTAATTATAATATTTATTTTCAACTTGTCTCTCCCTCTTCTCTGTGAAAATGAAACCCTAATAATCAATTCATCACGTCTTCCTACAACACAACACTCTAACTCCCCAAGTCTCCAACAATCGTACCTTTCCAATCTTAATCGCAAAGAGTATGTTCATCCACTTTAAGTTCTTGTTGTTGTGGTACTGTGATTGTGTTCATGTTTTTAAGTTCACATAACATTCTGTTTTAAAGTTCACTTTGTTGTGGTTGTTTTTTATTTGGACTTTGAACAATTTATTTGCATTTGTGGTTGTCTTTTGTTCAAACTTCAAACAATTTATTTGTATTAGTCATAAATTTAAATAGACTAATCATTTTTATTTTATTTAAAATTTTAAAATAAAATAGGTTAACCCAGGTTCAACCCATATATTTAATAGGTTGGGTTAAGAAAATCATAAACAGTCAACATGTTGTCAACCCATTTAGGTAATAAGTTGGACTGGATTGAAAAATCTCAACTCATTTAATTAAACAGAT